AAAGCTGCTCGCTTTGCCATCAATCCGCCTGAGAGAAACACACCATTTCTTTCATTGGAAAACTACAGGAATTTCCATCTGGCTGGGAATTAATTAAAGTCGAATTATGGGCTGCAGCAATATTGGACTGCCCAGACAAATTCAACAACACCCATGGAGGGTATGAGTGAATGCGGAGTTGTTAATGAGCATAGTGAGAGGCCAGAAAAGCCACTTGTCAGGGGGCTCTACCTCAGCAGTAATAAGGCAAGATGAGCGTAAGACAAATAACAAAGTGAGCATTGATAAATCCATTTGTTTCTTTGGACAGAAATGATCATTGAAGTCACTGAATTCAGCGAGAAATATCTTTTTTTGAAAATGTTTGTTTCCAAAAGAATGACTGAATGTGGCTTAAGATTTAAATCTATGTTATGTTACATTTAAACATTTAAAGGCAGGGTTGGTCATTTTTCAGATAGACTTTTTAATATTTTGATTGAAATTGTCATTAGGTCCCGAAATAAATTAATAATTCATGCGTTCTGAAAAAAGAACAAAGAAAATCTGCCATCTGTAGCAATTGTAAGCCTGTAAAAACTTCGACCAATGTCTGCCAAGAGGTACTAACCTGATGAACCAATCACGCCTCCCTGCCTGTTCTCTACCTATGCGTGCACTAGCTCACACAAAGCGCATCAGCGATGACTGAGTGCATACTGTGAGTTTGTCGTTGGTCGTTGTGAGTAATAAAATAGTCAGTTTTATGTTTTAAGTATTATGATAATGTTTAGTTCTTACTTACCACAGAATGAGACATGAGAGGACGTAGTTTCTACACAATGCAAGCGATGAGCTGAGGTCCGCTTCTGGAGCGATGGCGCTCGTGCATGTAGGAGAGGGGCGTGGCTTTTGAGGGAGCACAGAGGGGAGGGGGCGGGTGTAGATGGAGCCCTGAGGGAATGCTACTTTCAAAATCATGCTAGTTTTAAAAAATAACCAACCCAGCCTTTATTTGGATTGATTATTACAGAAAACAAATTGGAGGTTTTATTCTTATATGCATGATTTTTCTGTCCTCATCCAGAGTTTCTTTATGGAAGTCAAATGTGATCACGTGAAAATTGAAACCAGAAGATTCATGTTTATGGAGTTTTGGCAGGAAAAGTCTGTTTCTTCCCGATTAAACTGGAAAAGACTAACAAGGTAGTAATGGCCATGATGTTATTCAGGACTTTGCAGCAGAACAACGCCAAACACGTGATAAACAATAAAATTACATTGTTTTCCCCGTTTTATGATGATCATTGGGGAATTTTAAACCTAGTTAAATGAATCATATGACTTAAAATAATGCAATAGAGTGATTACCAGGCTATGGCATCTCTGCAACATATTATAAACAACCACCTAATTCTTCAATAATACAGCAATTGTATCTGTGTGAGACAGCGAAGTTGGCTTGAACAATGTAAGCACTATTAAGACTCCGAAAGAGAAAGTCTGACACAACAGGCCCTGTTCCACAACTTGGGAGGCTCTGCTATCAGAGCTGGGACTCTTCCAGTCCCTGGCACCTCCAACCAACCATGCAGAAAAAGTAGGTCTGCATGGGACCCAAGAGGACGCAGGACCCGAGTGATTCCATGGTTTGTGCCCAAAACAGCTACATGGTGAGTATTTCCCTGGAGTGTACGCAAACAATAGTTTCAGTTACACCTCTCTAAGTAGTTCCAGGTACAGGTTACATGAAAACAGATCTGTTAAGAACATGTCTCGAATCTCACTAGACTCTGACATGACAATAAGAGAGGTGTTTTGTACAGAAAACTTCAATAACAGCCTTCATGTGTGGAAGATACGATTCAACAAAAGAAGCAGACAGTTGATTGTTCTCATGTTCAGAGCTTAATCAGGTAAGAACTGAACAGGTGAAACATCCTTAATGAAAGTAGGTACATGTGATATCAGTGTGCTGTGTTTGGCCTGGTCGCATGCAAGAATTATGTTGTAATAATAACCAACAACAAAAGAAATGTGATGCTGTTGTCTATTTATTGTCATGGCAAGCATTCAGAATGTGATTCCTTGGTGTGAGTGTTCAAAACAAAAAAATCACAGTCGGGAACAGTTAGGAATGATGATCCGGCCTGATGATCCATGTTACTTTTCAAAACATTCAAGGTTTTCTCAGAAACTTTTTCTTTGAAATGATTCAGGGGAATGTACCGAACTTTTACAACTTTTCAAACATATGAAACCCTCGAAGAATTAAATTATTCTTTCAGCTCTAATCAAACATTAAGAGTCAATATTATTTTTCCATTTCTAGTACCTAAATCTTTTAATGGTGTTAAGCATCAGCTGTTAAAAACATTAAACAATATTCCACCTCTGTCATACATTAGTGCTTTTATTAGTCATCAGCTTTTTAACATGCAGCCGTCGAAGTGCAGTTTTCTTCAGAAGTGTTATTCTTTAGGTAGATGTGGTGTTTTCTGAAAACCTAAAACAAGACAGCTTCAGGGGAGTAGCACTAACAGTCCAGTCTTTACTCTTACAGCTTGTTGCCCACAAACATTATTGACATTTCAGGTTTTGACAGTCTCTTATGATCAGGAAACCGGGGCAGCACTCTGTGGATCAGTTGACATGTTAGCTTTGTCCAACGAGGAGATAAATCATAAAAAAAACATTTTGTTGGTTGAATCTTCACTTAAGTGGTTACCTTGGCAACCACTTGTGGCTGGGAGACTCCCAACAAATCACAAAGCTGATTCCTGTGGGGCTGGACTGTAGCGAGGTTGCTCTCCCTGGAAGGGACAGACAACAGTGAGTGTCACACACAAAAACAAAACGCATTTGAAAACTAGAAGGTTTGTAATAATTGAATCAAATGACAACACTAACCAATTAGTGTCACTTAGCAGGGTAGTGACATCATCCAACACTTCTGGATCTATGACATCATCATAGTACAGCAGCATCTCGTACATCTGGCTGGCTGTGGTCTTCCTGATCTAGATTTCAATAAGAGGAACATTTATTTTTTTCCTGATGCTGCACAAAGCAAAGTAAAGAAAAAGCACAAGGTGATGACAGCCATGATAGAGGCTTCATGAAACAGTAGAGACAAAAATGATACCTTCAGCATGTTATCATACTCACAATGTCAAGGCTATGTGCTGATGTTTAAATATCAGTAGAATATATACTATTAGTTCTGCATGTATTTGGTCAAAAGTAAACTAAAGTACTTAATGAATGAGACCTGATAAATGTGCTCGTTATGCTAATATAAAGTACACATTTCCTGTAAATTCATCAAAACACTGAATGAGTCATGTTACTCAAGACATTAAGATCAGCGTCATGGTTCATCAAAGTTTTTAGGATTCATCTTCTGGAAACCATGAATTTTTATTTTTCAAGCAATCCATCTGATAGCTGTTGACACATTTTGTCAGGACCAAAATTCTTGATCAAACAATCAACAGTTGTACTCCTAAAGCTACACTAATAGTCTGGAAAGAGAACATAGTAACACAATATAAATGACTTATACAGCAGCCTTACATGTTTCATAGACAATTAAGGAGTGTAAAGTGGCTGCATTTTTTTTTTTTTTTTTTACAATGACTGACAGCTTTTCTGAAGTTTGATAAAAAATGGAGAGTTTTCCTCTCTTTTGAATTTACCACTGGGAAGGGATGGCAGAGCAGCATCAACAGCTGGGACAAGACTTTCTTCCTCACTTTCCCCTGGAACTGGACCAGTCCACAAAAGCTGAGAAACAGCAAACAGCACAGTCAGCACAAGATGGTGTTTTCTGCCTCGGTCCAACATAACACGTGTACTCAATGAGATGAAGACTTACACAGATATACAGGCTTGCAGCTTGGAAATATTTTTGGCCTTCTTTGACTCTTTGCAAAGAGTCAAAACGTCCACACAGAACGGATGACTTTGAAAACAGAGACAGAAGAACTTAAGCTCCACAGGTATAATCTTTGTTGTTACTACTTTTTGAACAACAGTTATGGTAATACTCACTCCTCTTGTGTGGTGAAGATTTCAAAGCAGCTGTTGGCAAGCATCTGATTGAGCATCTTAAGAAAAGGAGTGGACACCCTAGAGAAGAATGAGAAAAATCTGTCACGAAGGAGCTTAAAGATCATACTGCATACCTATCCTTAATAAAATCAAAAATTCATCAATAAAGCATAATCAAAAAGTAACAATAAACATGATTAAATGGAAACAGAGCACAGCATAGAAGAGAGAAAAAAGAATCCATAGAGTGTATAAAAGAAGTAGACATTAGACAAGTAGTCAGTGAAGCCTTTAATAGAGCCAGACATGACGCATTGCCATCCCTCAATACTAATCAACAAGTTGCCATGGTAACAGCTTGTCAATCATAAACCTTTATTGCCTATTTTACAGGATGGGATTAAAATTGATTAAAGGAACGTGTTGGTTTGAAGAAAACTCAAAACTAGTGATTGACAAACGGAAACATTGGGGACATTTTTACAAGATGTTTTTTCTCCAACAAATGGGGAGTCACCCCATGATGGCTATTAGAAAGGGCCTTAGTAATTAATCAATCTATGCTTGCAACAAGAACAAATAAATGTGAACAAAAATCCATTAAAGTTCACTTTTGAGACATGGCTTTAAATAGAATAGGCTAACACTTCCTACAGTCTGACACTGAAAGGACCTGAATGAAAAAAAATTAAGAAACTACCTGTCATTCTTAAGATTGTCTCTGAAGACGCTCAGCAGAGAATCTCCAAACTCTGAGAGAGCCGCATTGTCACGCTGGATCACTCTCAGGTAGTCGAACAACCATTGTGATGAATAGTGAACCTTAAGGAGAGAAGGAAGCGAACAGATGCAGTTCATATGCAGCAGCAGCAGGCTGGATGATGAAACAGGGGACGTAAAAAACATATGGACTCAAAACTCATATTGGTGAGCCTGGTTGGTACTCATAACTGTTTTCTTTACCTTTTGTTAGGGAAATAATGTGTGAGGATGACAGGTAAAGAGTGAGTCATAGAGGTTTGTTTTAAGCCTGTGACTTGTGATTCATTGTACTGGTATGGATCCTTTAACAGATAGTACCTAAAAACGTTTGCAAAGGTATTTCAATCTAAGTAAAAAATAATAAAAATTTGGTCGCGATAACATTCCATCTATCTATCCATTATCTTTACCCCTTTTTCTGGTTCGGGGTCGCAGGGGCCTGATGCCAGCTGTCATTGGGCAAGAGGCGGGGTACACAATGGACTGTTCACCAGTGAATCGTAATAACATTATACTAGTTATTTATTTCTGAATCAATGCCATAAGAAGATACATTGTTGAACTTATGATACCATCCGACTGCAGGGAGACCTTGAAACTTACAACTTAGCAACACAGTTTGATAGAGATACACAAGGATACATGGAAACCTTGTGTTTGAGGTGTTTTGATAAAAGACTCTGAAAGGCTAGATTTCTGATTCGGAGCATTTAGAGTTTATACTGCCAAGAACTTAAACATGTGAAACACTTGTGAAAAATGATTTCTCTCAGTTTTGGGACTCGGTGAGTTTCTGCCGTTTGGCTTTAGTTTCTCGACATTCTGGTTGGCCTGCAGTGCAGCTCCTGGAAAGTGAATGGAAGCTTCATCTCTCTCTGGCCTGTGTGAATATGTGCCTGTGGTGTGAGAATGGTAATCTTGGCCCACGTATCGATGCAGCATTGGCTCAGTTTCCTGCATTCAGCCCTGTACAAACATATCAGTCCGTCACGTCTCTGAGGCTGAAAGAGCAGGAGGTAAAAGTCAAACGAAAGCCAGAGAGTCTCATAGGGAATATGTTTACGGCCTCCATTGGCAGATGAGGCCAGCTTTACTGATTTCACTGCTGTTACAGGCTTTAAACTTGTTTTTCTTTTATTATATCCACAAACAGTGAATGTTAAAAATAACCAAGCTATCATAAATCTTTGTGGGAAGGACCTATTTTCCAATGATTGGTTTTGAGAGGTCAGGTCAAAGTGGAAAATGAGGATGGGGGCTTGATCAACCCCTTTTAGGGGCCAATATGAGCCTCCAGAGTGATGAGCCTCCTAAGAGGTCAGGAGGGGAACATAGCAAACCCGCTTTAAAGCTGTTATTTAGCACTAAGTTAACAACTTTCAAATGATGGGAAAAGACTGTACCATGAGGGCCCTGTGAGATCATTCTTTCTGGACACATCTGGATCAATGTTTCAGCTACAGGTGGTTGCAGCAGTGGAGGCAGAAGGGTAAAGGTGTCGATAAATAACACAGCATGATACTTGTCATATAACAATTCATAGAAAGTCCGCCCTTCTTGGGAGTAAGGGACTGCAGCTCAGAGGACATGGCGCCCCCTGTTGGCCTAAATTCATCCTTAATAATAACAGCTAAGAATTGACACATGGCGCCCCCTGTTGGCCTAAATTCATCCTTAATAATAACAGCCAAGAATTGACTTTGTGATTATTGGCAGAAGGATTCCCCACCATTAAGTGTCTGTACTATAAATCCCTTTTATGAACTCTAGATTTTATGGCGTCAGTAAAAAGTTGGAACATGGTTAAAATGCAAAAAATGTATTCTATTTATAACTAAACTTTATACATACCACAATCCATCATCCTTTTTTTCCCCCCATGTTCATCATTTACGTAAAGATTGTGTTTACAGCATTATTATGTAAACCCATTTTTACGCTCCTATTAAACTACCATGGGGAAAGAGTAAATAGTAAATATTATTGAGCATGTATAGTGCTTTTCTAGTCTTCTCACTACTCAAAGCACTTTTACACCGCATGTCACACCTACACATTCACACACTGATGGCAGAGGTTGCTATGTAGTGAGACCAACAGAAGTATCTTATCCTATTTAAAGGCATTCATACGCCGCTGACGAAGCAGCGGGAGCAATTCAGGGTTAAGTGTCTGGCCCAAGGGCACATCGGACATGTTGCTGAAGGAGCTGGGGATTTGTAATTTTCTGCTTGGATTTTTTTTTGTAATGTTTACCTTTAATCACTGCACAGGCACCTACAAAGGTGGATATGGATTTTGCTTCATGCTGGCTCATATATATATCATGGGTTTGGGACTTTGTCTCACTGTCAGTCTGCTCTAAAACGCTTCATTTTTTGTTTCTACACTAAACTCGTTAAATCCTCAATCCAATATGATGCACGTTGTTCCAGTCTCATCAGAGCTGTATTTGCTTTACTTTTAATACATCCCATGTGGATAGTTTCTTTCATGCAGGGTTCATCCACTTCCTGCATCATACTGTATATACCTACAATATAAACCTACTTTGCTTCTATGTGCAAGCCTACATTTTGAGCACAAGCAGAACCAATCTGAGTGCACTACACATTTTTAAAGTAAAGTAAGTAAGTCATGCTCTTAACCATAATACCATGCTTTTGAATATATATATATATATATATTTATTTATTTTTTAAACATGGTCGATAAGACTGATATCTGTTGGCTGGTAAAGCATATGAATCCTACACATCAGGGCGTTAACTTTCACTTGTGCATGTATGCCAGTAACTGCATTTTTCCCATCTTCGCATCAGTTTTGCTTATTTCTCAAAACCTCTCTCACATCTGTAAAAAATATATTTCTAATTTGACCTACTGTGGACTCTGTGAGCCCTCCTACTGACACAGTGAGGCCCAGCAGGGTGTGGTGCTGATACTGAGGCAGACTCAGCAGCTGGGTGATATACTTGTAAGCTTGGGATGGAGCATTCCAGTTCAGACTGGTTAGGGTCTCACTGAAAAAAAAAGGTAAACGGATATCATCATATATAAAAAGTGCAGTCACATACAATCCCTCAATATGAAACTCTCATATTTAACTGATTAAAGTCCCTGCAGCTGTCAGAGCCTGTTAGGCTGCTGGATGAGCTGCAAATTAAGAGCAGGGGTTACTCACGCAGGAAAAATGCTCAGCAGCTCCTCTTTGTGGGGGATGTGTGGTACTGCAGGGTCTGTGCTGTGGAGGAGGCGAAGGAGGATGTTTCCAGCATGAGCTCTGTAGCGATCAATCTTCTCTGCAGCCTGCTGGGCCAGGCAGCACATTGTACACTTCACCCTTACAGACAGAAGTACAAAAACAATCAGAAGACAGACTCAGGAGGCCAAGCAGATTGTCACTAAACTTCACAAAGGTACCTGCAAAACACGTCTTATACTAACTACCGTACTCCGTCTCTTAGAAATGGTTCTGTAGATCAGCAATCCATTCATCAATCAATTTTCTTTCACATCTCCGTGGCCAGGTTGTTGTAGCAGAAGGCTAATCAATTGAATCCAGACATCTCACTCTAAAGTTTGTAAGGCTGAGCCCTTCCTGTTCTTTAAGGTAAAATGTGTTTTGGAGGTGATCCTTGAACTTGGAGTATGCGTGTGAAAAAGGGGTGCTTGTGGGCAGGGAGACAGATTGAGACAATAGGGTGTGTCTTATTGGGAGTGGGAAAAAAGTCACAAGAAGTTGATTTATCTTCCAGAAAATAATAATTCTAAGAAAGCTGTTTATTAAAGTGAAGTTAGCCACCTAGCTGGCATTTGTTTCACCATCGGCCAGTATGATGAAAGTTGAAGGCTGGAGCGTATATTCAGTGTTTTTAAGATTTTTTTTTTTTTTTTTTTATGCCTTTATTTCAGAGGACAGTGAATAGAGTAGAAAATCAGGGAAAGAGAAAGTGGGGAATGACATGCAGGAAAGGAGCCATAGGCCGGACTTGAACCCAGGCCACCCGCTTGGGGGACTACGGCTTCAGTACATGTGGAGCAACCTAACAGCCAGTATTCTCATACTGTGAATAAACTAAACAGCAACACTGATTTTCTTCCATGCTCATTTAATGTTTCAACCATCAGCAGAGTAGGTAATTGAATGTAACATATTTTTTTAACCTTTCCTCTATTATCATTACAAAACTTTGCTGATCCAGGTTGGATTAAATTAAGCTGAGGTATTTTGGCCACACCTTGAGACACCAAATACAACAAAGGCAGTGAATCAACAAAGAGGCTTGACACCTTCTATGGTCACCTGCTGGTGACATGAGACTCAGGCCTGAGTTTTTCTACCTGTTAGGCAAAGAAAAGAAATCCAGGAGTGGTGTTAATCATGTTTTTTTGGTGTTTTCACACGAGCACAAAACTCCAGAAAGCTTCTGAAATTCTTTTTCATGTTTTTCCGTATCAAGTCTGAGTGAGCCAATGATAGAACACAGCAGGAAATATTCAGGAAAATTCATGGTGGGGGTGTTCCTGAAACCAACGTGTGACCATGTGAATGATCATCATGCATGTAATGAAACTCTTTTATTATGTGTTTTGCTTGCTAGTTTGTTCCTTTTTTGGGACAAATGAATATTTCAGCATTGTTATAAAGGCAAAAGTTGTCCTCATAGCGTCATACTCTACCGCTTTGTCCCCCATTTCCGTGTCTTTCTTTCCACGTCATGTCCTGCCCAAGCAACTTAGAAAGATTTCAGGGACCGCCTGTCAGAATTGTCAGGAGTGCATGTGTGACATTGGCCTTAGTTTGCTACTCACAGGTCAGGTAAAAGGATCTCTGGAGCACTGCCAGCCACCAGCAAAGTCACCTCCATCAGGCTGGTCATTGCTGCCTCTCTCACCCTGGGGACACGACAGAAAGAGTTCACACATTATTCCTAAATGACATAAATCTGCCTCACAGACTTTGTGCTGGGTTCAGCAGCAGCACTTCATGAAGCAATCTTTTGAAACATACTGATAAATGAGGAGCAGGAACAAGCACAGACATGAGCTGTCACATGGACATATATCAAGTGATCGAGATTGCATTAAAGTGTCACTTGATTTGTCAGTGCTATATTCAAATTACCATCATTGCTGAGAGGCACAATTTGTTTGTGTGAAATGTTGATCAGGTTTTTTTTCACAAGTCAAACCAAGACACAGGTGCACATGCCTCAAGTTAAGCTGTGTATTACTGGCCTATTGGCAAACATTTAAGTCATACATGAGAGATATAAAAGAGACAATTGTCACCCTTGAGAAAAGGAAATGGTGCAAAAAAAATAAAACGACAACCGGATGTAAAAACAATACAAAACCAGATTCAAGAGAAAGACTGAGTTAATGGAAAATATTCCATGACTGTAAGAAAGAAGCAGCACATTCCGTGTCGTGAGGCCAAGTGACAAGCCAGGTGACATTCCTGATGGTAAGCATGGCCTTGGGCTACAAGTGACAGGAGCAAACAGGGACAGACAAACACCAAGAGGCTCCAGCAATGGGGCATTCCTACTCCCCGAGGCAAATAAAAGAGTACGTTTGTTATTTTTGAGTGTTTGTGTATTTATTTGAGTTAACTCACCAAGCCCCTATGTCCCCTCTGCTATCGGTCGTGAAGTCATTCATGCTGCCGTGCAGAGTGCCATAGACCTCTGCCACATTCTCAGAGCAAAGGAAAGAATCTGGGGAGCTGTAAGCGCTAACACCCACCTTGGCACACACTCTGACAGAGGAGGAAAAAGAAAGCTGTATTACAACATTCACAAAGGGGAACCAGAAGAGACAACACACAAAAAAAAGTTGTATGAAAGAATGGCTGGATATGTCATACAGGTCCTGCAGATATAGTCAGCTGACTGTTTAATTTAGCATTACTGCCTGCACAACAGCGCTTAGCTAGCAGACACAACGGAATTTTACGACATGGGTCAAAATCCAAGGAACTAAATAAAACAAAAATAAATATAAAGGGATACTCACTGAGAAATGGCTTTGACTGCATCCCTCCTTGCCTCAGTGAAATCTCCCTTCTTCTGGCTGATGGCGCACATCTGCTGAAGGCCTTCAAGGATCTATCACAGCAGCACACACCACATACACACACAAAATAAAAAACACTTTATACATATATACTGAGGTAGGGAGATGTACAATGGCAAGAAAATGTGCACGGCCTCCAAACACACCTGCTTCAGTTTGCCATGGATCATAAAACTTGGCAGACAGCCAAGAGCGAGGGCAGATCCACAACGCGTGAGCATCTGAGGACTCTTCAGCCCTTCAATGTACTGAGATACCAGGACATCTACACAGGTGCAAAAACAACCACAAACACAAAGTCACACTCTGCTGATGAGGTAATGTTCACATTCAGACATACAATAAAATACAATGTTTAGGGGAGAGGATCAGCTCACCCTGCATTTGTGTGTCAGCCTTTCCTGGTTCGGCCTGGTAGTGCTCCTCACACAAGGCAGACAAGGCCTGTACTGCTGCAGTCTGCAGACGACAAAAGGATAAAGATCTTTAAACCAGATAAAGAAACAGTTTGTATAAACAACTCGTGGAAGTCTTTATTCCACAGTTTTCCAAGGCAACGCATTCATAATGTGAACTGTTTTTATTTCTGAATGGATGTCTGTAGAGTTTAATAAGCAGGTTAAAAAAACGGAATTGAGGTTACCATAATGCTATCCTTTGCACCACTAGAAATAAAATGAAGGGTCTTTATGGTGTCATCGATGAGAGACTGCCAGCCAGCTGAAACAAAGTGTCACAACATTAGATGTATTAGCTTACTATTAGCATGGACATTAAACGAACAACAAACATGAAACAGATGAGAGCAACAGTTTTAAAGAAATTACTTACTGATCACAGGCTCGTTCTTGAAAGGCATTTTGGACAGGGACAGCTTTTCTATGAGACTGAACACTGTGGGAAAAGATCAGACTGATGACATCTACTGAATAACCAGGACATTAAACTGGTTTGAAAGACATCCATGGGTTTTGGAATAGCTCATTAAAAACAATGCAAAACAACATTTTCTCGTTTGATTTTCGACTTACTTGCTGGCCTCATTAGCTCTCCACCAAAACCCCTAAAATAAAAACACAAGTTTGTTGAGAAAGCAAAAACAATGTTGGAAATTTTGAATCACACTGATACTGAAATGCCTTCTTACCTGTACTGTTTCCTGTCATGCAGCTGAAAGTAATAAACAATCGAAACATGAGCAATACAGGATATCATGACCACAAATTACTGTAATATTTAGTGTTGACTCCTTTATGAACACTTACCGCCTGATGAACATTTTTCAATGCATCAACACATTTGGGAGAAATCATGTCCACCACAATCCTGTAGGAAGAAACCAGAGAGAGCTCACATGAGACTTATTTGTGCAACAACTCTATCAAAAAGGCTAAATCTTTAAAGGTCACATATTCTCCTCCTTTTCAACAAGTTTAAATTAGTCTCTGAGCTCCCCAAAACGTGTGTGAAGTTTCTTGTTCTAAATCCACTTTGATCCTGTATTTGATCATGTCTATAAACCCCTCTATTTCAGCCATGCTCAGAACAGGCTGTTTCTGTGTCTGTACCTTTAAATGCAAATGGCCTGTGTCTGACCACGCCCCTCTCTGGAAAGGAATGTGGCTCAGGCTTTCTCGCTACATGCCCTATTGTTTACGGTGAGAAGGCAGTCTCAGAGGCAGAACAAACACCTAGCTGTGGGAGTGCCACCCACCTGGGGGAGGGTTACTGCCTTTGTGATGTCATGAAGGGAAA